AGGCGCGATGGAGACGCAGGGCGTGTCCTGCACGGGGCGGTCAGACCCCCAGCCGGGAAGGACTGTGGCCCCTGCTCCCCGTCGCCCACCCCGAGGCCCCTGCCCCCCGTCGCCCACCCGGTCCTGCAGCCCCCGAGGCCCCTGCGCCCCGTCGCCCACCCCGGTCCTGCAGCCCCCGAGGCCCCTGCGCCCCGTCGCCCACCCCTAGGCTTTGGTCCCCTGTGTCTGGCTGTGCGGAGCTGCCCCTCCCGCCCTTCGCGGAGTCCTGCTCCTTCTGGCTTTTCAGGTTCCAGCTGCAAAAGCACCCTGCCTGCCTCTCTTCCCACCCTCACCCCCTTCCGGAAATGACCCACTATTAAATGTCCCCCGATACCCGCTGGCAGTGGCCAGCATGTAGGGCTGTATGCTTCCCTCCCACACACCTTTCCCTGAAACAGTTCATGGATTAGGGAACCCGGAGAGCAAGCTCGCTCGGTCCAGTATTCAGTCCTCAGGCACAAATGCAGTCTGAGGGAGCCCTGTGCATCCCACGCAGCAGGGTCTGACACAGGACACAACCCAGGTACCCCAGGAGGAATGTGGGCGTCCCAGGCCCCTGCTTGGCCTGGGTGTCCAAAGCCTGCCGCGTCCCCGCCCCGTCCCGGTTTTTAAAAGCACTGCAATTCCATATGAGCGCCAGTTCTAATCCCGGCAGGCCCACTTCCCACCCAGCTCCCTGCCTGTGGCCTGGGAAAGCAGTGGAGTACGGCCCACAGCCTTGGGACCTTGCACCCGCGTGGGAGATCTGGAGGAGGCTCCTGGTTCCTGGCTTCGGATCGGCTCAGCTCCGGCCATTGCAGCCACATGGCGAGTGAACCAGCAAATGGAAAACCTTTGTGTCTCTGCTTCACTCCATAAGCCTGCCTTTCCAATAAGAACAAAACAAACCTAAATAATTCAATAAGTGTCTTACACTGAGGAGGAGGGCAGTGCTGTGCCCACAGGGGTTGAGGCCCCAGCCTGGGGTCCCCGCCAGGCCAAGGCCAAGGGCAGGGGCAGAGGTGCAGGCCCGGTGCCCTTGACCACTGCGGGGCTGACTCACGGCCTCGTCCCCGTGACGCGGAGAAGCCGCACGGCCAAGGTCGGCCAGGGGGCCGCGGGGAGCGAGTGCAGGCCACTTGGTGCTGCCTGCCTTCCTCTGGCTTGCTTTGGGATCGCGGCACCTGCCAGAGATTCTTTATCTCAAAGTCAGAGTCTGCAGAGCCGCAGGCCCTGCTTCCCACGCAGCGCCCTGCCTGTGGCCTGGGGAAGCAGCCGAGGACGGCCCACAGCCTGGGGACCCTGCACCTGGGCAGGCTCTGCCTGGCAAGTGCTGAGACTGTGGTAGGTGGAAGAGTTGTCTGCAAAATGTGCCTTTCAAATGAAGAAGTGACCAGCAGCAACATCCACGAAGCTAACAAAGCAGCCGAGGACAGCAGCAGGGCCTGGCGTCCTGGCAGACCGCTGGACAGAGCTCTGGCTCCTGCCCTGGCTGGACCGGGCACTGCCACTGGGCTTTTCACACAGCAAATCAAGACTTCTGTTTTTGCTCTGCTTTTCAAATCTGTTTATAAAATCTTAAAACATACACAAAGAGGAGAGACAGAGAGGAAGATCTTTCATCCGTTGAATCACTCCCCAAGTGACCCCAATAGCCAGAGCTGGTCCAGTGGAAGCCAGGAGCTTCTTCTGGGTCTCCCACGCAGGCGCAGGGCCCCAAGGCTCCAGCATCTCCTGGACAGAGGCAACCCAGGGCCGGCCTCAGGGCAGGGCATGGCAGGGCATGGCAGGGCTTGGCAGGGAGGAGCCAGCCGCCTTCCCCAGGCCACAGGCAGGAGCGCCCTCTGCGGGCCATGCCAGGGAAAACACCGTGACACAGAGATGATGAAACATGCTTAGGGCGTGGCCCACCTCGTGCAGCCCGTGCCCTGTGGCAGCTCAGAGGGCCCTACGGAGCAGCGTGGGCTTCAGAGACGGATACCCCCTGCTTCCGTGCACGCTTTTCCAATGTTTCTGAACCCACGTCTCCCTCGGGCTGGCAGGGACCCAGGGTGAAAGCTGGACTGGGAGAGAGGCCAGCCCTTGACCTGCCACTCGCTTCTGGCATGAATGAGTGCGGAGTGGCAGGTTAAACCGACGTGCCAGCCAGCCAGTCAAGGTTTCTGATTTCGTTCTCCGAGGTGGCATACATCACTGGAAAGTGTATCTCCAAGGACCTTGGTCATCGTAAGAGTAACACCTGGGGGAAGGCACGGCTGGGCATGGCTACAAAACCCCACACGTAAGCTGGGTTAGGGAGAGCCAGGCTGCACCAAGTGACCGTACCCACTGGTGCAAATGGAGCCTGGGCACGCTCTGCCTGGCAAGTGCCGAGACTGTGGTTGGAAGTGGGCCGACGTGGTAGGGAAGCCGTGGGCACCTCTCTCACGGGCTGCAGCTCCCACCAGCGAGCGCGAGAACCAGGGCTGGCGGGTCTTGGCTAGACAGGCAGTGGTACCTGCTAGCACCAACGTGGGCTGGATAGCGGGCTTGGTCTCTCCAACACGCAGTGATGCGTGCGAGAGCTGCCTGGGAGGTGGGATGGACTGGACCAGGCCGCTGCACCTAGCAGCATGCTCGGGAACCGAGGCTGGAGGCGGACCTGGTGGGCGTTTCTGGAGGTCGCTCGGACCAGGCTGCAGTTCGTGGTGTGCGTGAGGGCCGAGTGGGAGGCGGGCAGCGTTGTGCTTGTGTATGAGACGGGGCTGGGGACAGAACTGCCCAGGTGACCGCAGCCACCAGAGTGGTGCAGGCGGACGTGGGTGACGGACTGGCTGGAAGACACAGGGGTCAGGACGGGGTCACCTGAGCTTTCATTGGGGACCACCCCAACTGTCGCGCTGAAGTCAGAACTCCAAGCATGATGAGACTCCAAGGCTGTGAGGCCCAACCATGCAGTGCGCGTGTGATAATGTGGTCGCCACGGTTACTGGGGCCTGTGCATGGACGGCAAGCCCACATGTGCACAGGGAATGTGACAGCCAGTTCCTGGAGGCCCGCAGGGGACGTCCAGGACAACGGAGGGCAGGATGACGTGCACAGCTCTGCCAGTATCTGGGCAAGCGGAGACGCTGAGGCGGACCGTGTCAGCCCGTGGGCCTTAGAAGGATTCCACCTTGGAGCAGCTACATCAACAGCCTTTCGGACCTGTCTTAACCACTCTGGAACGTGCTCCACACTGGGGGCTTGGGATGACACCGGGGGCCTGTCCCCTCCCTGGGCACTGATGCAGCTGGGCTGCTGGGAGCGGCCCTCTCCCCTTCTCGCCCTCGACACAGGAAGAGGAGCCTGCAGTCAGTTCTCTCGCCACCTCTCCCGCCCTGATCCAGGGCCCACACCGGCACATGTCCAGGACCAGGCTGCAGTTATGTGAGCAGGTATGTGAGCGGCATCAAAGTAACAAACAGCAAAACAGAGAGCCAGCTGCGGTAGCCTAAAGTCTTTCTCTTGCAAGCACCAGGATCCCATATGGACACCAGTTTGTATCCTGGGGGCTCCACTTCCCACCCAGCTCCCTGCCTGTGGCCTGGGAAAGCAGTGGAGGACGGCCCACAGCCTGGGGACCCTGCACCTGTGTGGGAGACCCTCAACAGGCTCCTAGTTCCTGGCTCCAGATCAAGACAGCTCCAGCCATTGTGGCCACTTGCGGAGTGAACCAGCGTACGGAAGGTCCTCCTCTCTGTGAACCTGACCTTCCGATAAAATATATATAAATTTTAAAACAGAATGTTTAAAATCCAGCTGTGGGGCTCAAGTCAGGAGGAAGGGAAGGGCCGTGAAGATTCCTTCTTCACACAGGTCTGGAACCCCGCTGGCTCGCACCCACAAGGAGGACACGTGCGGGAAAAGAAGACGGTCATTTATTAGGGGCCCCCCACACCCGCCCTGCACCCCGCGTCTCAGGCCGCGCCCGCCTCGCGCAGGGCCAGCTGCTCCTTCCTCCGCTGCTGCAGCACCTGCTCCTCCCACAGCGCCTGGTCCACCTGGTCGTCCGTGAGCACCACGGGCAGGTACTTCTCCTGGAAGAGGCGCTCGTTGTTCTCGGAGCGGAGCTGCCCGGGTCGCAGCACGCGCAGGTGGGGTGGCAGGTGGAGGAACTCGCGGTCGTTGACGTCGCAGTCCCGCATGCGGCTGCCCAGCACCCACCAGCGCCCCAGGGCGCCCACGTCCAGCACGCGGCCGGCCAGCTCGCTCCAGCGCGGCTGCAGGTGCGGGCAGCGGGCCTGGTACAGGCTGACCTCCGCGTCCACCGGCGCCTCGTAGGCCAGCGAGCACACGCCCAGGCGCGCCAGGCGCAGCCGGCCCCGGCCCCGCAGCCACAGCAGCCGCTGCACGAAGGCCTCGGCGTCCGGCCTGCGCGTGGCCGGCGCCAGCAGCAGCAGGCGGCCCGACGCGTCCAGCAGCGCCTCGTCCAGCGCCGCCTCGCCCGGGGCCAGCGCCGCGCTCAGCGCCAGGCCGCCCAGCAGCCCCGCGCCCATGGCCGCGCGCCCCGGACGGGCCCGGGCGGCCGCCGCCGCGTCCCGGCACGCCTCGCCGTAGTCCCGGAGCAGGACGCGGGCCCAGGCGCCTGCGGGGAAGGGGGACACGGAGGGCGCGGTCAGCGGCGTCCACCCGGCCCTGCCCGGCCCTGCCCGGCCCTGCCCGGCCCTGCCCCACTCACCAAGGCGCGCCGCCAAGCCCGGCTTCCCCGCCGCCTCGCTGCCCCGAGCGGACGCCGCCATTCTCTTCCGGCCTGCGGTCCGCGCTTCCGGAGGGAAACAGGCAGCAGCGCGAGTTGCACAGGCCTGGGGGGAAGAGTGTGTCGGGCGCACACAGCCGCGAGCGCGCTCCCGGAAGCGGCTGCCCAGCGGAAGCCGGATGTTGCTGTCTGAAGCGACAGCGAGGGAGCGGAGGTGTGGGCGGGCCGCGCAGGCGCACTGGGGCGCAGCCACGCTCGCAGCCCCGGAGGCGGCTCAGGTGAGCGGGGCGGGGTCCACCTGCTGGGGTCCCGGGTGTCCAGCCACTGCGCGGTGGGCGGAGGCAGCGGCCGGCAGCGACCCCGGCGTGACATGCGGTGACCGCCATGGCCGCCGCCGACGAGCTGGCTTTCCACGGTGAGTGCGACCACCCCATCCCCACCCCCGCGAGCATGCCCGGGGCGTGGGGGCAGCTGCCGGTTCCAGCCCTGAGACCCCCTCCCGGGACCACCCCATCACCGCCCCCGCGAGCATGCCCGGGGCGTGGGGGCAGCTGCCGGTTCCAGCCCTGAGACCCCCTCCCGGGACCACCAGCCCCTGCAGGGGAGGCCTTCCTCGTCGGGACCCTGGGATGACACTGGGGGTCCTTGTCCCACTCAGGGGACAGCTTGCTCTGGGAGGATGCACGGGGTGGCCCCAGCTGGGGTGGTGCCCCTCTGTGGAAGCAGCCACCTGTCAGGAGCCGTGTACCCCCGTTGACTGTCCTGCTGGACGGGACAGCCCCCCGAACCACACGGCCCCCGTGTCTGCCCTCCTGCGCTGCAGAGTTCGAGGAAGCCACCAACCTCCTGGCAGAGACCCCGCATGCAGCCACCAGCAGCGCGAGCAGCGACCAGCAGAGCCCGCAGGGGCACGTGGCCGTGGCCATGGGCGCCGGGGACAGCTTTGGAGCCGAGGAGGAGGAAGAGGGGGATCGGGCAGCGGTGAGCACTGCTATCCTCGGCCATGCCCTGTCCCGCGTGACCCCGGGTGGCCGGGGCAGCTGTTGAGCGCGCGTGTGTGGGCAGCTCCTGCAGGACCAGCCGCAGCCCGGGTTCTGGACGTTTGCTTACTACCAGGGCTTCTTTGACGTGGACACGGCACAGGTCAGGCCCCCGGGAGCTGGCGGGCAGGGGGGACAGAAGGAGGGAGGTGCACTCTGAGGCGGTGTGCTCCCAGCCTTTGGTGGGGCATGGGGGGCCAGCCACAGGACACGCCCTCCTGGATGAGGCCTGGCCGTGAAGGAGCGAGAGGGACGGGCTGGCTGGGCTGCGTGGAGCACCTGCAGGATCTGCTGGTGGGGCAGCAGGGAGGGTTGTCTGTGCCTGGAGGGGGCGGCCACGTCGCCGGGGACCCTGGGGAGCTGGGCTAGCTCAGGTGGGGGCCGGGGAGGCATGCAAGGGGAGGCCCACCAAGAGCTATTGCTCAGATGCAACAGGGTGGCTGGGAGCGAAGGCCTGTGAGAAGCCCAGAGGAGTGGCCGAGAGCAGACTGGGGAGAATGCGGCAGGGCCGGCTTCCCCGGGGGGGCAGGGCCGGCTTCCCCGACTCCCTGGAACCCGCCCACCAGGTCCTGGACCGCATCAAAGGCTCGCTGCTGCCCAGGCCCGGCCACAGCTTTGTCCGGCACCACCTGCGGAATCGGCCGGATCTGTATGGTGAGTCACGCGTGGCCCGTCCCTCGCATGGCCAGCGTCAGTGAGAGTGACAGGCGGGGTGGACGGGGCCGGAGGAGGGGGTGGTTCAGAGTGGGCCTCCGCGGGCTTGGAGAAGAGCCGTGGAGGACGCCAGGGATCGGGTCTGGCCTGCAGGATGGCGGAGCTGGCACACAAGCTGTGGGTGGCTGACCGTGCCCCCTCCCTGCCACCGCCTCAGGCCCCTTTTGGATTTGCGCCACCTTGGCCTTCGTCCTCGCCGTTACCGGCAACCTGACACTGGTGCTGGCCCAGCGCAGAGACCCCTCCATCCACTACAGCCCCCAGTTCCACAAGGGTAAGCGGGGTGGGGGACAGCCCAGGACACTGTGCCCGGGCCTCTGGCATCACTGCCCGCCCCGTCCCCGCAGTGAGCATAGCTGGCATCACCATCTACTGCTACGCCTGGCTGGTGCCGCTGGCGCTGTGGGGCTTCCTACGCTGGCGCAAGGCTGTCCGCGAGCGCGTGGGCCCGTACAGCTTCCTGGAGACCGTGTGCACCTACGGTTACTCGCTCTTCGTCTTCATCCCCACAGTGGTGAGTGTGGGTGGGTGGGAGGGGCGTGCGTGCATGTGCGCCACGGACCGGCTGCCCACTGCCCCACCCTCTGTCCCCCAGGTTCTGTGGCTTATCCCCGTACCGTGGCTGCAGTGGCTGCTGGGGGCCTTGGCGCTGGCCCTGTCGGCCGCCGGGCTGGTGTTCACGCTGTGGCCGGTGGTGCGTGAGGACAGCCGGCTGGCAGCGGCCGCGCTGTTGTGCACCGTGGTGCTCCTGCACGCCCTGCTGGCACTGGGCTGCAAGGTGGGGACGGCCGGGGGTGTCCTTGGGAGCCTGGAAGGTGGGGACGGCCGGGGGTGTCCTTGGGAGCCTGGAAGGTGGGGACGGCCGGGGGTGTCCTTGGGAGCCTGGAAGGTGGGGACGGCCGGGGGTGTCCTTGGGAGCCTGGAAGGTGGGGACGGCCGGGGGTGTCCTTGGGAGCCTGGAAGGTGGGGACGGCCGGGGGTGTCCTTGGGAGCCTGGAAGGTGGGGGTGGGCCGGCCCCGCCCTCCCACTCACCCTGGGGGTCTCCGGGCAGCTCTACTTCTTCCAGCCACTACCTCCTCATGTGGCAGTGCCACCTGCGGCTACGTCTCCTCCCCCGGGGAAGCTGTTCGCCACCTTGGCCCGACTGGCAGCTACCACCTAGCAGCCGCCCAGGTAAGGAGCCAGCCCTGGCCTAACCCCCGCTCACCACACACACCAGGACCCCCTTATAGGTGGCACCTCTCTTCTAGGTGCCCCCGAGGGAGCACCCGCCGCCCTCTCCACCAAGATGATGACTGAATTCTCCCGTGCCACATCAAGGCTGCCCTACCACTTTTCCAGGCTTTTCTTACAAAGCAAACACTTTTATTTTCTATGCAAAGGTGATTCCAAGAATTGATAGAAAGGGGGGTGGGGTGGGGCGGGGGGCGGACAGCCGAGCAGGGAGTCCGCCCAGTGTGGCTGGGGCTCCAGCCATAGGGCCAGCCACCCCCCAACATCCCCAACAGACACCCCCAGCCCAGCCCGTGCCCCTGCCCTGCGGGCCTGGCCTGGCTGTGCTCGGGGCTGGAAACGGGGGTAAGAACTGCCTGTGTTGGAACAAACAGGTCCCGCTTGCTTGACTCTTTGTTTCGGCGCCTGGAGGGAGAGTCCCCGGGGGGTACCTTTCCAGGCTGGGGGGGACGTGGGGGCTGGGCGGGGGGAACAACACAGGCTTAACACAGGGCAGCTAGGAGCAAAGAGGATGGGACGCCTTCCGCGACACGCCTTGAGGTCTCTGTGCCTGCGACAGAGCAGGAGGAGGCAGAGGCTGAGGACGGAGGCCTGCCGGGCGGCCAGGCCGGGTTGTACATTCAAGTGTGAGGTGAACCCTTTGGTGGGGAGTGGGGGCCCCAGGGCCTGGCCCCACCCGGCCCCTTGCCACCACCGCCGCCCGGCCTCCGGGGGGAGAAGCAGATGCTGCGGGGGAGGCTGCTGGCTGGGCCCGGCCGGCCGGGTTGCTCAGAACGTCTGTGGATTGACACTGGTTCTTTTCGTAAAAAAATAAAATTAAAAAAAGCAGCATGTCACACACCCGTGGTGACCAAGGCCCGGTAGTGGGGTGGGGTGGGGTGGGGCCCGCCTGGCAGGGCCGGGGGCACAGCTGCTCCTGCTTCCCCCCCTCAGGGCAGCTGTGAGGGGGCCCCTTTCTCCGCTGCAGGCCTGGGACAGGCCAAGCCAGGGGGTGAGGCCGGGGACGAAGGCTCCCCTGTCTGTTGGGGATCTCGTGTAAGGTATGGCAGCGACACGCGCGTTCGGGGCCGGGACGTGGGCAGGGGCGGGCGGCGGCAACACGGTGTACAAGTGTCCAGCTTCTCCCCTGGCAGGGCTGTGCCGGGTGTCGGGGCGTCGTCTGGTTTCCTGGCGCCTAGCTGCCGTAGTGCATGGTGTTGGTCGGGAGGGACAGGGGCGAGGCCATGGAGATGGCGGGGCCGCCCATGGTGAACTGGCTGTTGACCGCATAGTGGGCGCTCGAGCCGCCGCCGCCCTGGGCGCCAGAGGAGCCTGTGGTGGTGCAGGACGTGGGCAATGAGGGGCCGCCCGCTGGGGCCCCAGGCCGACAGGGGAGCGTGCAGGCCGGCCCCCGCCCGCAGGCCCCGCGCCCGCAGCACGTTACCTTGCACGATGCCGGTGCTCATGATGGAACCCATCCGCGAGTGGGTGTGGTTGACGATGCCCGTGTTGGCTGCGGCGGTAGCGGAGGAAGGACACGCGTCAAGGCCCCGCCGCCCCGGCCCAAGCGCAAGCACCCAGGCTGGCATGCAGGCCCCGCACTCACCTAGCGGAATGAGGTTGTTGTGGCCCACGCTGGAGCCGCCGGCGATAACACTGCTCAGGTCGTAGGCTGCAGGCATCCCTGTGCCCGGGAGAGGAGCGACCGTCAGCGCGGCCTGGCAGGGCGACCCCCGCCCCTCGCCGGGCACCCCCGCCCCGCCCCGGGCACACGGGCACCTGCCACAGCCATGCCACTGCTGAGGTTGTAGGTGCTCCCCGTGTTCCACATGTTCTCGGAGGGCGACGTGTAGTGGGAGCCGGGTGGCGGGGAGGGCGTGGTGCCCGTGTATCTGTGGGGCACACAGAGTCAGGGCCGGGGTCCGGCCAGCCCTGCGGGGTAGGGGAGGGTGTGCACGCACAGCACCGACCTGAAGAACGGGTTTTTCAGATCCAGGAGGTTACTGGACTTGGAGCCGGTCTGGTCCACCTGCGCCACAATACTGATGTCGTAGCTCTGTCTGCAGGGCGGCAGGCCGGGGGGTGAGCACCCTGTGCCAAGGCCGCGACGCCCCCTCCCCGGCCCTCGCCCTGGGTGGACGTGGCACCTTTTGTTGGCAATCAGCAGACATGTCCCTGAGAGCGTGTCTCCTGCCTTGGCGAACAGCGGCGACTGGAACAGGCAGCGCACCTGGTACCAGTGCGTGAGGGGCTCCGTCGGGGCCGTGGACAGCCACACGGTCATTCTGTCAAGAGGGACAGGCCCGCGCCTGATGCACCCTGGGCCCTGCTCGCAGGCTGGGGGGACGGGCCCCCGGAACGCGCCGGCGCAACCACATGCAGAGCGCACGCAGGCGCGGCAGGGCTGCCACGGGCCGCGGGGAGGGACGGTGGCACCCACGGTGCAGGGCCGTGAGCACGGAGATGCGGCCCATGGCACTTACATGGAGCCGATGAACGCGACGTCAAACCAGAAAGCCAGGCCGTGGACCAGCCCTGAATGCAGCATGTGGAACTTGAACGGGATCTCAATCCTGGAAGGGAGGGCAGCGGCCGCTGTCGGGAAGCCATACACACAGGCCTGGGCAGCCGCACGGCCAGCTGGGCGGTGGGAGCTACCTGTGCAGGTCACCCTCTTTGGCTTCTAGAAAGTTCACGGTGTACTTGACAGACTTGGCCATCAGGATCCGGATGTCAAACGTGTCCTAGGAAAGACAGATGGGACTTGGCGTAGGGTGCAGGCCACCCGACCTGCCCGGCGCCAGCTCGGCCTGCTCAGCTGCGCTGCAGGGACAGGGCCACCAGCTCGGGGACGGCAGGGGACGAGGGTTGGAGCAGCCCGGGTCTGCTTCCGTGCGGAGTTCCACACGCGTGTGCAGAGGCCCCTCACACACGACAGCAGGCCTACGGTGCCCGGAGAGCAGCAACTGGTGTTTGGCCAGATGCCATGCTGGGATCCTGGCGTGCCTTCAGCACCGGGACAGCGCCCCAGCCTGCGGTGACGCACTGCAGGGCCCTGCAGGTCTGGGCCCCAGAGGAAAGAGGAAGAGGCTCTTTGTGGGGAGCGAGGGAGGACCCCAAGTCGGGTGCCCAGTAAGCCCAGGAACGGGAGGCTGTATGTCACACTCTGCGCCTGCCAGGAGCTGTGGAAACGCTGCAGCTGGCGAGGGACGGTGCCCGGGGGCCTTTCCAGCCCCGTTCTCCCCTGAGGAGTGGGCAGGGAGAGGCGGGCGGGGACGTGCGGCTCTCTTCCGTGTGTTGCAGAACAGCGAGTTAAGGCACCGTGCGGGAAGCTTCCTGCTCATCCCAGAGGGCTGGCTGACGGGTCATGGTGATGGCCCCCGAGCGTGGGTTCTGGACCCCTGCAGGAAGCCCACGCGGAGTTCCTGGCTTCTGCCTGACTCCATCCTGGCTATTGAGCCAAAACAAGTAAATAAATAAGTCTCTTCAAAAACACCTCATTTAAAATAGTTTTCTATGGTGCCTGCCATGGTACAGAGTAAGTCCAGTCCAGCATGACGTGGGCGCTGCTTCCAGTCCTGGCTCTGCTGACCCAGCCTCCTGCTGCTGCACGTGGAAAAGCAGTAAGCTGGCCCGAGCCCTCGCGCCGCTGCACCCACGTGGGAGGAAGCTCGGCGTTGCTGGTTCGGTCCAGCTAGCTATGGCCGCTCAAGTCTTTGGAGAACCGAACCACCAGATGGAAGATCTGGGTCTACCCCCGCAGCCCATCGGTGATTCAAGCAAACCAAATCTTAAAATATATATCCCAGCGCAGTAGCCTAGTGGCTAAATCCTCGCCTTGCATCTGCTGGGATCCCATATACATGCCAGTTCAGGTCCAGTTGCTCCACTTCCTCTCCAGCTCCCTGCCTGTGGCCTGGGAAAGCAGTGGAGGACGGCCCACAGCCGTGGGACCCTGCACCCACGTAGGAGACCCGGAAGAGGCTCCTGGCTGCGGATCGGCTCAGCTCCAGCTGTTGCGGTCACTTGGGGAGTGAACCAGTGGATGGAGAATCTTGCTCTGTCTCTCCTCCTCTCTGTATATCTGACCTGAACCCAATAACACAAGCGCCAAATCTGTAAGGCCAGGACCGGCGGGCGGAGCTGCTGGCTGCCACCGCACACGGGGCGCTCCATGTCCTGTGTGCCCGCGGTGCAGAGCCACTTCTGTCCCCAAGCTGAGTGGGGGAACTGGGCGGAGAAGCAAGGGCTGAGAGGGACGCACGGCAAGAATAAGCCGTGACCTGAGCGTAAGCTCCGCGCCCCACCACCGGTACCCTCCCTTGGGCGATCAGTGTCCTGGACGGGCGGCAGGGGACTCACCACCACGGGCTGCCGGAAGTACTCGTCCACGGCGGCGCCTCGGAGCGCAGACAGATCCACACCGTGGAAGGATGGCTGGTACCTGCCAAAAGCCCGGCCGAGCAGCAAGGTTAGGGCAGCAGGGCGGCCCTGCCTTCTCTGCTGCTTCAGCCCTGCCAACCCGTCTCTCAGGGGGGATGACTGAGCGAAGACCCCACAGCACACACTCACCAGAAGTTGGCCTTCGTGAACTGCTCCATGTACAGCTGCTCGTCTGTGAAGGGGGCCAGGTGCACATCACCAATGGTGGGGAACATGTTTCCTGGAGTGGTGGCAGGGAGTGGTGCCAGGGTCAGTGGGGCACACAGCCCTGGGCTCGCTCAGCCTCTTCCCGATGGCCGTGGCCCCGACGGCTTCTGGTGTTTAGGACGTGGGCAGACGCTGCTACTTGGGATCCGTTCTCACGCGTGTACAGCAGGGAGCGTAGGGGAGCAAGACCGGGACCCAACCCCCACAGGAGGAACGTGGGAGGGCCGCGGCTCCTGGTCCCATCTGTCTGCCATCCGTCTGCTGCCAGGGGGCACCTGGCATCCTAATGTGAACTCTGCCGCGCCAAGCTCTGCCATGTCGGGAGGGACCAGGGTGCATGGGGTCTCTCCATCCTCGGCACCACGGCCAGGCTGAGCGCAAACCCAGAAAATGCTTATTCCTGCTCTGAGGCCACATGAGGGACCCGCCCTACGGCCGTGGGTGGGGAGCTGTGCGGTGTGGCCCTGTAAGTTCTGCTGCCCCAATGTGTGCTCAGGTGAGGGGCAGCCTGGGCATCGCCTGCCTGCACGGGACAGCCAGCTGGCAGCTGGGGCAGGATACAGGTTAGGGACAGCCTGGGCATCGCCTGCCTACGCGGGACAGCCAGCTGGCAGCTGGGGCAGGATACAGGACGAAGCGATAGGAACACTGCTACTTTCGAGGTCCACCGACGCTCTCACCCAGTCCTGCCGCGCAGCCTGGCCCACCTGCCAGTCCAACACCTGGGCTTGACCCCTCTGGC